CCCGCCGCCCGCCACCAGCAAGATTTAGAGGCATCTTGAGCACTTGAAAGGAAGCGTTGCTCTAAAAGGGCTTTTATTTCATCCGTAAATCGTTTACGTGGAGGATCCGCATTAATCTGAAGCCCAAGAAGCCGGATGCACTGGGAGCTGCTAACTGGGGCGGCAGCTCTGCTTCTCGCCCGGAGGAGCGGGCGCCCTTCAGAGGCCGCGCTCTCCCTTCTCTGCTGGGCGTCGGCGTGGGGACTGGGGAGCGCCGGGTGGAAAGGGAAGTTGAGCAAGAGGCGTTGAAATCGCTCCATCATACTAATCCCCACCGATTTCCCCACTTCCTGCCACCTCTCTGCTCGGTCCCCGACTTTATTACTAGACCAAAACTGTTTGAAGAAAACCCCTTCAGACAAGTGTCTCCAAAAAGGCCTGAGTCTAGGCCCGAGGGAGGCTCGGTACGCACACAGGTTTGTGAGGGGGAGGAAGGCGTTCTGCGCGCCTTTCTCTCGCTCTTTTTAAGTGATTATGGGTGCTTCTGAGGAAGCGCAGTGGAGCTTCCCCGCCAAGTGCTCGTGGGGAGCTGAGCCAGAGGAAGCGGGTGGGTGGCAGGTCTCGGAGACCAGCACCGCGGAGTCGAAAACCTTCTGTGTGGCTTTGGACCCCCACTCCAGCTTTCGAGGAGCCTCAGGCACCGAGGGGAATTGCATTCGGTGCCTTGGGGGCGAAAAAGCCATCTGCAGCGAGTCCCGCATAAGCTGGTAAATTTGAGGGAAAAAAACGCACCGAGTTGTGGAGAGGTCTCCACTAATGGGTCTTAACTCGCCACAGACCCTCGCAGCGGCTGTCACGATTGGCCAGGCGAGGTCAGCCATTACAGTACGATTTTGGGCACGCCGGGCAACCCTAATTCTGGGGACGGTGAGGCCAAACCCATCACTGGCAGGCATTCGGATGGGTTCGGGAGTGACCTCCTCTTCTGGGGTCTCCTCTGACCCACGCGCCATGGGTGTAACAGAGCAGCAACCCGGAGAGAGCAATGGCAAAGCTATGCGCCCCCAGAGCGAAGTCTGAGCCCTACCCTAAAGGCGAGATGAGCAATAAAACCCCCGCATCCCACCGGACAGGACGGGGCAGCCGAGTCGACTGAGACAGTTCTCCGGAGGGCACAATTCGCTCAGTGGGCCCTGCAGTGTGCGCTCAGGCTCTGGAGAGCTGACACTTTTCTGGGTTTAAACACCCCCTGCTATATTAATAGTTACTATCTCTGGAGCAGTGCAGCTGGCAACAACCATGAATCCGCAGATCTCAAGGGGGCGCGGTCAAAGAAAAGCGGGGATGGGACTGCGCTCCAGGAGAAAGCCCGGCAGCTCTTGGAGCTGGAACTTCACTCCAGACGCCCTCTGCTTGTCGAGGCTAGGCTTGGGGCCAAGGGGGTAAAAATGGCCAAGGATGTGCCCTTGCGACTCAAGGAGGAGGAGCTGCTATTTCCTTCCTGGACACTTTCTGGTGCCTTTCTGGGCATCCCTTGTGGAAGTCCGAATGCTGGCGTGGAGTCAGCCACTCACTCCTGGTGGGTCGGTGATTTCAATAGACTCCCATCTCCCTTTGTTTTGGTCTTACCTTCAGGTATTCTGAAAGTCTCTCTCTAATAAAAGCGGGGAAAATGAAGAACAGCCTTTTGATAGGTTCCTCCTCCCACCCCCCAAAAAAATTTCACAGCAGCAAGAATTCCTATTACTGACTTGAGGAAATATACAAAGAACTCCTAGTTATAAACTTAGTTCCGTCCTAGAGCTCTGTCAGCTTGTTTATAAATATGCGTTTTAAGAGCCCTAAATGTCCTGAAAAACATTCAGTTTCTTAAATGAAAGACATATGATGCAAGCTCTGGAGAGTACTTGTATGCCAATAAAGGTCCCACTCATAGAGGAAACTACAGGGTAGCCAAGGACAGTAAGCCAGTTTCCACCCCATTACCCAAACTCCCCTTTGATGGTAGTGGTTAGAGGGATGGGGTGCAAGATATCACCAACCCTACTTAATATCCCTGAAGCCTCCTGGAAAAGCAAATCTATTACATGGAATTCCCTGTGTTTTGTGACATGTAACCACATGTGCCCATAACAGAGGGAATAGCTAATGGCAGACTCCCATAACAAATGCTTAATCTGCAGTTATTGGCAAGAAGCTGGGTCTTTGGTTGCCAAGAGCTGCATTAAATGGATTTTGAGAATTTGAGATAAGTTTATAGTAGTGACACAGCTCCAGCCATTGGGGCATTAATATTAAATTGAAAATAATACTAATTAAACCTATAAAATTTAAGTGATTGCTAGAAGTCATAAGGAGCGAGACAGAATCATACTGCAGGGTCAGATTGCCTTCCTGAGGATCCACCTGGGCCTTTTCTTCCTGATGTCTTAGGGATAACCTTGAAAATTGACCATGACACTTTGATAAATGCTTTTAGCTACTCTGTTCACATCCATCATTGCTCCTAACTCCCCAGCAGGCCTTTAAAACCTGCTTCTTATTGGCCACTGCCCCATACAAATCCTCCTGGGTTCCAAGATTCCAATTAGTGTGGGCTTGCCTTCCCAATGTTCCGAGTGGAGATCGGTGGGCAAGTGAGATCCACCTGATTCAGTCAGGTTCTAGTTGGGATTTTTAACTCAGCAGGCTTGTCTGGTCACCTCTGGGCTTCCCTTTCCTTCTTTGTTTCACACGTCTGCTTCACATTTGAGAGTACTGTCCATTTCTTGATATTCAGAACTTAGGATCAAACCCAGGATTTAGCCTTCTTTCTTGTCCATGGAGAATTCTATCCAAGCTGTCACTGTGCTTCCTTTACCGATTTCCTTCATTTATACCTGAAACTTCACTGTGCCCACCAGCTCAGACAGGGGACTGTTCAAGTGGCAATAGGAGAGGGACAGAAGAGGGAAGTAAATAATTTTTTTTCCAAAAGCCTAAACACAGTTAGGACAGCCTAGGAACCAGCACTTTCAGATCTCCAGGCTCTTGTAGCCTTTGATGTTTCTTTGCTTTTTTCGAAGGGAGTAAGGTACAGAGCCTGCTGAGGACGTCCACAAGGAATATGAAGAGCCAAGAAAGCACAAGGGTGACCTAATGCTGCCTCAGGTCTCTGCTCCTTTGAAAACTGTTTTTTCCTCTAGTGATAAAGATGTGTTGGAGTAAACTAGTTTAGTCTTCTGCCGCCACCAGATGCCAACTGACTATTTTGTGAAGATGACTGATGCTTCCATTTAAAGTTGCCTTTAACATTATTCTTGCAACCATTATTCTTGGTTGTTGTGTTAGGTTTCAGCAACCCCAAACAGTGATTTGGGGCATTTAACACATTTTAGTTGCCTTTTTTGGAGCATAGAATTAAAATAATAAGTTAAAACTATTTGAAAAGTCCACTGAAGTGACTGTTTGACACTCCCCCTCCCCAGGATATAGTACTTCATTAGAAAGTAAAATTCAGCTTGACTCATATTGAGTTTTTAAAACCTCTTACAGACTAAACACTGCCCTTAATGCTCCTCTCCCCTGTGCAAATGTATTTTGGGAAATGAAAAATATTTCTATAACCTACATCAAAGCAGTAGTAGAAGCAATGTGTAGAAAAGTCTAGCTCCTTTTTTACTGAAAAAAATATTACATCTATATAATAATGGCAGGAATATGAAGATGGGGTTGCAAGAATTTGAGTTGTAGCTCTTTATTTTTGCAGTAAGAATTTGAGGCTTTCTGTAAGTAAAGCTAAGGGAAAAGGTGTGCTGTGTCAAGCAAGCCATGCCAAATGCAGAAAAGCAACAGTCTGGAGGGAAAAAGGATCCAGTGGAGGGAAACTCTCATGAAAAAGTACTAAAATAATTGAAAGTCATGTATCCTGGCAGGGGGCCAGATGGCCTCCTGTTTGTGTGTGCTCCACTGCTGGGTTTTTTCCAGGGCTTCGAGTTCAACCTTCCCATATCTCTGCAGACATTATTGATGCAGAAATATATGCTGCATTGAAGGATCTCAAAATGTTTTCATATACATATGTATATACATATATATGTATATGTATATGTATATATATATGCAGAAAGCTGATGTTTTCTTAAAATGTATATATCAAGCCATCTTGTCCAGAAAACATGCCCATGACATGTGAATAACTCACATTTGAGAAGTTTCTAACTTTTAAAAAATGATTACCTAAATGTTGATTGTGTAAAGCTCTTAAACATGCTGTCAATCAAAGCTCTCAAATATTTTCAAAAGCTGGTTTTTCTGATCTATGCTTGTTTTTAAATTTGGACTTGTAACCTTATAATGTGACAGTTTTTCACATCATTTTTCCTTAAGAGGGAAACTAATTGGACATTTGGTTCTTCTATAGCATCCAACTGAAATGGAAAAATCTCAGGTGGCTAGTCTTCTCACTTGCAAATTGTTTGACTTATTTAACATGTGCAATTATTTACAGTA